CGGCTCCAAGCATTGCCCGAGAGCTCGAAGACGCGCGCGCGACCAGAATCTGGCCCAGCACCGTCGCTTCAACGTGCTCCAATGGCCACGCGGCTGCCGTCGCTGCTCAGCGACACCGAAAAGTCACTTCCATCGCCCGAAGCTTCGCCATCGATGTCCTGCCCCCCAAGGCCCTACGCGTTGCCCGAGAGCTTGAAGACGCGCGCGCGACCAGCATTTGACCGAGCAGCGTTGCTATAACGTGCTCCAATGGCCACGCGGCTACCGTCGCTGCTCAGCGACACCGAACAGCCACTTTCATCGCCTGAAGCTTCGCCATCGACGTCCTGCCCCCCCCCCCCCCCCCAGGCCGCAAGCGCTGCCCCAGAGCTCGAAGACGCGAACGCAACCAGGCTTTGCCGCAGCCCCATAGATGGCTTCAGCGGCCACGCGGCTGCTCAGCGACACCGAACAGCCACTTTCATCGCCTGAAGCTACGCCATCGATGCCTTGCCCCACCCGGCTCCATGTGTTGCCCGAGAGCTCGACGACGCGCGCGCGACCAGAATCTGACCCAGCACAGACGTTATAACGTGCTCCAATGGCCACGCGGCTGCCGTCGCTGCTCGGCGACACCGAACAGCCACTGTCATCGCCTGACGCTTCGCCATCGATGTCCTGCCCCACCTGTCTCCAAGAGCTGCCCGAGAGCTCGAAGACGCGCGCGTGACCATAATCTGGCCCAGCAGCGTCGTTATGACTTGCCCCAACGGCCACGCGGCTGCCGTCGCTGCTCAGCGACACCGAAAAGCCAGCTGCATCGCCCCAAGCTTCGCCATCAATGTCCTGCCCCACCTGGCTCCAGGTGTCGCCCGAGAGCTTGAAGACGCGCGCGTGGCCAGAATCTGACCCAGCACCGTCGTTACAACGTGCTCCAATGGCCACGCGGCTGCCGTCGCTGCTCAGCGACACCAAACAGCCACTTTCATCGCCTGGAACTTTGCCATCGATGTCACGCCGCACCAGGCTCCAGGCGCTGCCCGAGAGCTCGAAGACGCGCGCGTGACCAGGCCTTTCCGCAACCCCATAATTTGCTCCAGTGGCCACGCGGCTGCCGTCGCTGCTCAGCGACACCGACCACTGCCATCGCCTGAGGCTTCGCCCTCGATGTCCTGCCCCACCCGGCCCCAAGCGCTGCCCGCGAGCTCGAAGACGCGCGCGCGACCAGAATCTGACCCAGCTCCGTCGTTATAACGGGCTTCAATGGCCGCGCGGCTGCCGTCGCTGCTCAGCGACACCGGAAAGCCACCGGTAACGCCTGAAGCTCCGCCATCGATGCCCTGCTCCACCCGGCTCCAAACGCTGCCCGAGAGCTCGAAGAAGCGCGCGTGGCCGGAATCTGGCCCAGCACCGTCGTTATAACGTGCTCCAATGGCCACGCGGCTGCCGTCGCTGCCCATCGACACCGAACAGCCACTTTCATTGCCTGAAGCTTCGCCATCGATGTCCTGCCCCACCTGGCTCCCAGTGTAGCCCGAGAGCTCGAAGACGCGCGCGTGACCAGAATTTGACCCAGCACCGTTGTTATAACGCGCTCCAATGGCCGCGCGGCTGCCGTCGCTGCTCGGCGACACCGAATAGCCACTGCTATCGACTGAAGCTTCGCCATCGATGTCCTGCCCCACCTGTCTCCAAGAGCTGCCCGAGAGCTCGAAGACGCGCGCGTGACCATAATCTGACCCAACATCGTCGTTATAACGTGCCCCAGTGGCCACGCGGCTGCCGTCGCTGCTCAGCGACACCGAACAGCCACTGCTATCGCCGGAAGCTTCGCCATCAATGTCCTGCCCCACCTGGATCCAAGCGTTCCCCGAGAGCTCGAAGACGCGCACGTGACCAGAATCTGGCCCAGCACCGTCGTTAGAGCGTGCTCCGATGGCCACGCGGCTGCCGTCGCTGCTCAAGCTTCGCCATCGATGTCCTGCCCCACCTGGCTCCAAGTGTTGCCCGAGAGCTCGAAGACGCGCGCGTGACCAGAATCTGGCCCAGCACCGTCGTTAGAACGTGCTCCAATGGCCACGCGGCTGCCGTCGCTGCTCAGCGACACCGAAAAACCACGGTTATCTCCTGAAGCTTCGCCATCGATGTCCTGCCCCACGTGTCTCCAAGTGTTGCCCGAGAGCTCGAAGACGCGCACGCGACCAGATTTTGACCCAGCAGCGTTGTTACTACGTGCTCCAATGGCCACGCGGCTACCGTCGCTGCTCAACGACACCGAATAGCCACTGCCATCGCCTGAAGTTTCGCCATCGATGTCCTGCCCCACGTGTCTCCAAGTGCTGCCCGAGAGCTCGAAGACGCGCGCGTGACAAGAATCTAACCAAAGTTCGTTGCCGTTGTTTAAAAATGTTCCAATGGCCACGCGGCTGCCGTCGCTGCTCAGCGACATCTTGTCACTGTTATCGCCTGAAGTTTCGCCGTCGCTGTCCTGCCCCACCTGGCTCCAAAATGCCCCCTTTTT